TTAACAGAATTTAGATAAGAAAACCAAGATAGAAGGTTTCACATATACTCTGATCACAATAATATAAAGAAGATAAATGGGAATACCCCCAAATTATACTGTATTCCTTCTCAGAAGTAAAACTTTAGTATCCAATAAACTTACCACTGAAGAAGAAAAGGAGGATGCTGGATACCAAGTGGAATTCACCTTGGAAGAGACCTGTGAGGTAAAAGAATGATTATTTTGATAAATGAGAGCAGAAAATTATTAAAACTTGGAATGGCTACCATATGCTTAACATTACACTAGTTATTATGGGCATACAAAAAATGATTTGGTGTTTGCTCCCAAGGGTCATATAGTCTTTAAGGAGAAAAGATAACAGACGATGAGGTACGGCAAATTATAAGAAAATAATAAACCATAATGATCATGTCCTCAGTGTCCAGGGAAGTCCTGATTTAAAAAGTTTTGGTGGCTCAGTCAGTGAAATGTCCAACTCTTGACTTTAGCTCAGGTCATGATGTCACGGTTCATGGGTTCGAGCTCCACATTGGGCTCTATGCTGACAGTGCGGAGCCTGCTTGGGATTCTCTCTCCCTGTCTCTCTGCCCCTCCCCTGCTTGCTCTCTCTCTCCCTCTCAAAATAAAGAAACTTAAAGTTTTTTTATTGGACCATATTTTCCTAATTTTTGGCCTGGAAAATGTAGTCACCACAAATCTTAACAATATGAAAACTCTTAAATGGTATCCAACACAATCGGTGTCGAATATAAGATAGCATAGAACCAAGTGTCAAATGTAAGTGTAAGTATTTACATGCCCATATAAATACTTGAACGTAAATGTTTATAGCAGCTTTGTGAAAGCCCCAAACTTAGCAATAACCAAAATGTCCACCATTGGATGGGTGAATAGGGAAACTAATGTGGTACATCCATACATTGGAACAGTACTCAGCAATGAAAAGAACTATTACACATGCAGCAACTATAGCAATTATAACTGGGTAAACTGGATAACTATAGCAATTATACTGGGTAAAAGAAGTCAGACATGCAAACAGTATACACTTTATGATCTCATTTATATAAACTAGAAAATACAAACTAATCTATAGTGTTAGAAAGCAGATCAGTGGTTGCCTGGGGATGATGGAGGAAGTGGAGAAGATGGGATAGGAAGGTAACTTTTTGGGGTGACAGATATGCCCATTATCTTGAATGTGATATTTCCACAGGTGTATATAAATATAAAACTTGGGGTGCCTGGGTGGCTCAGTCAGTTAAGCATCTGGCTCTTGGTTTTGGCTCAGGTCATTATCTCTTGGTTTGTAAGTTTGAGCCCCACATCAGGCTCCATGCTGATGGTGCAAAGCCTGCTTGGGATTCTCTCTCCTTCTCTCTCTCTGTCCCTCCCCTACTCCTGTGCTTTCTCTCTCTCAAAATAAATAAAATTAAAAAAAAAAAAAACCACGAATATAAAACTTATCAAATGGTATACTTTAAATATGTAGAGTTTATGTCAATTTTATTGCAATAAACTTGTTTTAAAAATGCCACATGTACCTTATAGGAAAAGAATGTGTTGTATAGGTAACATTTGATAGGGTATAATCAGCAAATTGGGGAGAGGGGCCAGTTACCATAAAATAACTTCATTTGTATATATGCTATAGAAGTTGATTTAAGAAATATTCAAGTCAATTAGGAATGGGAAGTAGAGGAAAACTGTATTCTAAAAATCCTTTATCTTGTCTGAAGACAGACATGTTTTTACTTTTTATTTTTAACATTTATTTATTTTTGAGAGACAGAGTGTGAGCAGGGGTGGAGCACAGAGAGGGAGACACAGAATCCAAAGCAGGTTTCAGGCTCCAAGCTGTCAGCACAGAGCCCCACACGGGGCTCGAACTCGTGAACCATGAGATCATGATGTGAGCCAAAGTCGGCACTCAACTGACTGAGCCACCCAGGTGCCCCAGAAGACAGACATGTTACTCAAAGGGTTTGGGGCTGCATGAAATGCAAGAATTTGTTTGTGTTCCTGCAGTACTATCTAGGGGAAAGGGTGCCAGTCCTTTGGGCCAGCAGAAGATTCTTCCAAATGATCCATCTACTTCCTCTCCCATTCCCCACAAAAATTATTTCAAACCATCCACACTCTTCTAGAGCCCACCATGTTTTATTTATAGGCATGTTCCCAACATCAACATGGTACCTCGTACATAGGAGGTGTTTAATAAGTATCTATGGAACAAATGAAAGGTCTACTGGGTGGCTGACTGCCCCCAACCAAGACTTGGTTAGGTGTCCCTTTTTGGACTCCCATAGCAGCCAGTACTTCCCCTATCAGGTTTATCTGTCTGTGCTGTAGTTGCCTGGTTACTTGTCTGTTGCCCAAAAGACTTGAGTTCCATGAAGGTAGGCACTGCATCTGTCTTGTTCACCTACTTTAAAGTTATTGTGATCAAGATTGTCCAGATATGGAAAATAGCAAGTTGTTGGTGCTCATTCAACGTTACTATTATATTATAAATACTTTTTGCTGTGACTCCTTGTTATTTGGAAACTTCTCTTATCTCCTCACTATTATGTCTTTTCTCCTTGCCACAACTCTGTCTTCTCACTACTTAGTTGTTCTTACTCCTTGCTATTTCAAAACTTATTCTCTTAAAACTTCCAACCTTGCTGCTTCCTCTCTCATTCTCAAAAGCTGACCTTTGTTTTTCCTACTTCAGAGGGAACAGAAACCATCAGATGAGAACTTCAACTTCCTACTAGCAACCCTACAAAACTGACCTATACCCATCCTTTTTTCCCTCCTTTTTGCTTATAAGGGAGAAGATAGCTCCCTTATATAAGGGAGAAGATAGCCAATCACAATCACAAGCTCTGTGGGGACAAAGTGACTGGGAGACTGAAGCATACAAGTATCTATGGACTGACCAATGAGGCACCTGTCCTCCAACTGAAGGCTAATCTCTGCGCCTGTGCTCTAAAGCCAACTTTTCCCACTACCCCAGACACATCTATCAATGATCCTTTCTTTTCTGAAACTTAAACCTCTCTCCATCCAATAGCAAGGATTCTCTATACTAATTACCTTTATTTCCTCATTTCCCGCTAACCCTTCAATCTACTCCAACCTTCATGACTAAACACCAGTGACTTCCTACATCCCATGGGCTCTTCCCAGTTCTTCTGTACTTAACCTTTTCCTACCCTTTTCTCCAATCTTCAGTATGTCCTGATATCATCCTCTGCTCCCTGGCCGCTAACAATTCCATTTCCTCAAGACTTGGTCCTAGGCCTTCTTTTCTCATTCTGCACATTCTCCTCAGGTGATTTCATCAACTCCTGTAGCTTGATTATCTAGATTCTGATGATGCCCAAATCTAGTTCTAAGCCAGCTTCCTCTTCAGATAATAGCTACCTAATTGTCTTCACCACACCTCTATGTGGATGTTATTTAGGTACATATTGAGAAAGCTGAACTCCTCCTCTTCCTCTCACCAAGCTGCTCTGCTTTCTATATCCCGCTTTTCGGTGAAGGGGACCACTATTCACCTTGTTGCCCAAGAAAAAACCAGCATGTCACCCTAACTCCTCCCTCTCTCTCCACAGTGAATCAAATCCTGGCAATCGGTCCTCCTAGAAGTCTCTGGAACACAGAGACTTTTTTTCTCTATGCTGCCTGTCATCACTACAGTCTATACCATCACTGTCTCTTACCTGGACTTCAGTAACTGTTTCCTTACAGGTCGCCCAGACTCCAGTTTTAAGCTTTCTGAATCTAGCTTCCTCCCCCATGCCAGAGGGGCTTTCTAAAACACAAATCTGGGCAGATCACTCCCTTGTTTAAAAAGCTCCAGTGGCTTTCCACTGTTCTTAAAGGCTAATCTTGATGTTGCTTAGAAGATTTCCCATGGCATCTTTACTTTTCATAGCTTGCCACTTTCCTCCTTGCTGTCTATGTTCTAGGCATTTGGAACATGTTTTGTGCTCTTTTTGCCTGTATACATGCTGCTCCTTCTTGCATGGAATTCTGTTTGCTTGACTCACTCCTATTTCTTATCTCCCTACTTAGCCATAAACTTTGGGTATCAGTGAAGATCAGTTTTATGTTTGCCAGTAGGAAGTTGAGGAAGTTCTCAACTGACGGTTTCTGTTGCCTTTGAAGTAGGAAAAAAAAAAGGTTAACTTCTGAGAGTGAGAGGGGAAATAGAGTCAGAAGCTTTTAAAGTCACAATCTCAAGTTTAGGTCAAGCACCTGATTATACAGCTCTTACAACACCTAACTTCCTCCATTTCTTATATCATATTATGGAATAACAGATTGTTTAATTATTAAGTCTCTTTCCCCTTAGGTCACTAGATGGCTGTGTCCTCAGCTCCTGGCATTGTTCCTGGAATAGAGTAAGCATTCATTAATACATTTGCAGAATGAAAAATTGAGTACTGGCCAAGCAATCATTTGGTATTCATCATGTTTCATGTTTACTCTCTTACAGGGCAGAAAATGCACAGATCAGTCAACTTGAGGATGCTAGGCCACTTAGTTTTATTTTTTTACTTGCACACAGCCTCCTTGCTGTCAAGAGGGCATAAAAGGCACTGCATCTGGCATAATAAAACATTAGCACATAATTTTTGATGGGTTGGATCTCCTATCTTTTCTTCATTTCCTAAAAAAAACATTCATTACCACTGTTGTTAAACTATCCTGCTTCCAGTCACACCAAAATTCTTCCTCTGTAGACGTTTACTACATACTTGTTTCCTTCTTCAGTCACTCCCTTTCCCCTTGGCTGAAGGCCTGCTAGTCTTGCAAAACTCAAGCTGGAGCCAACTCCTTTTGGATTTTTTTCCTCAATTGTACAGATTGAGTATGAGATAGTTTCCCTACACCCCTGCAGTACTCTGTGCACTCCTACTGTTAGTGCTTACTATTGCATTACAATAGGGGAGCCTACAGTGTGTGTCTTACTTAATCTCTCCTTTCCGTTCCCAAAGCCTGGGGACAGTACCTGACATAGAAAGAGATACCAAGACTTACGTCCTGAATTCTCAGCCCCATCAGTCACTAGTTGGGAGATACTGGATCGGCTTAAGTGTCAGGTATTTATTTCATTATATTCATGAATTCCAATCTTCACAAATATTCTTGAAACTAAAAAGTGGTGTTGTTAGGATAGAATGCAAGCATGACTGTGAAGTCTGTACTCTAAACCACATCACCGAGGCAAGCCACTGAGTGTCTTTAAGACTAGTTTTCTTGGGAGGTCTGGATGGCTCAGTCAATTAAGTGCCTGACTGATGATTTTGGCTCAGGTCATGACCTCACAGATCATGAGTTTGAGTCCCACATTGGGCTTTGCACTGGCAGTGTGGAGGCTGCTTGAGATTCTCTCTCTCCCTATCTTTCTGCCCCTTCCCTGCTCGTGCTGTCTCTGTCTCTCTCAAAATAAATAAATAAACTTCAAAACAAAAAAGACTGGTTTTACCTCTGAATATGCTAAACCCATCATAAGTTGAAAATACATTTAATATATCTAACCCACCAAAAGAACATCATAGCTTAGCCTAGCCTACATTAAATGTGCTCGGAACACTTACATTAGCCTACAGTTCTACAAAATCATCTAACACAAAGACTATTTCATAAAAAAGTGTTGAATATCTCATGTAATTTACTGAATGCTGTTCTGAAAGTGAAAACCAGAATGATTGTATGGGTACAGAATGCTTATAAGTGTATCAGTTGTTTAACCTCGTGATCATGTGGCTGATAGAGAGCTGTGACTCCCTGCTGCTGCCCAGCATTCCTCAAAAGTCTCATACTGCATTTTGCTGGGGGGTGGGGACGATAAAAATTCAAAACTTGGAAGTACGGTTTCTACTGAATGCATATTGCTTTCACACCATTGTACAGTCAAAAAGTCTCAAGCTGGGGTGCCTGGTGGCTTAGTTGGTAAAGGGTCTGACTCTTGATTTTGGCTCAGGTCATGATCTCACAGTTTTGTGGGTTTGAACCCCAAGGACAGCTCTGTGCTGACCCTGCAGAGCCTGCTTCGAATTCCCTCCCTCCCTCTCTCTCTCTCTCTGCCCCTCCTCTACTCACACACTCTCTGTCTCAAAATAAATTAAAAAAAAAATAGTCGGGGTGCCTGGGTGGCTCAGTTGGTTAAGTGTAGGACTTTGGCTCAGGTCACGATCTCATGGTTTGTGGGTTTGAGCCCCACGCCGTGCTCTGTGCTGACAGCTCAGAGCCTGGAACCTGCTTTGGATTCAGTGTCTCCCTCTCTCTCTTCCCCTCCCTCACTCACACTCTGTCTCTCTTTCTGTCTCCCAAAAATAAATGTTAAAAATTTTTTTGTGATTAAAAAATTTTTTTAAGTCTTAAGTTGAACCATTGAACATCAAGGACTATCTATACTTAAAATTACTGAAAACAAGGGCACCTGGGTGGCTCAGTCAGTTAAGCATCCAACTTTGGCTTAGGTCACAGTCTCATGGTTCATGAGTTTGAGCCCCGCATTGGGCTTTGTGCTGAAAGCAGGCAGCCTGCTTGGGATTCATTCATTCATTCATTCTCTCTCTCTCTCTCTCTCTCTCTGTCTCTCTCTCTCTCTCTCTCCTCTTTCTCTGGCCCTCCCACACATACTCTCTCTCAAAATAAACTTTAAAAAAATTACTGAAAACACCAACTCTTTCCTTTACAGACCCTTTTGATGATCCTCTGAAATTCATGACCCCCAGAATCTAGACTACCTTTTTTTTTTTTTTTTTTCAGTTTGAGAGAGTTAGAGAGAGAGGAGCACAAGCAGAGGAGAGGGGTCAAGGGAGAGAAAAACAGAATCTTAAGTAGGTTCCACAGTCAGCATGGAGCCCAATGCAGGGCTTAATCCCACGACCCTGGGATCATGACCTGAGCTGAAATCAAGAGTTGGATGTTCAACCAACTGAGACATCCAGGCGCTCCTAGACTACTCTTTATCAAAGTTTCATGTTATAGTAACTCCTCTTTGGCTAAGAATTACTATTTATGTTCTTTCCCAGGTCAACTCGGAAGTTTCTTCAAATGAATCAGAAAATAGTGTCTGTTTCCAAAATAAAGTGCATAGAAAGGGAGATTCCTCTCCTTGATTCAAAGCACAAAATACATTCTTAAGGCCATCAATGACTCACTGTGATGGTGGGGAATCAAAGGAAAAAAACCAATTTTAGTAAAAGATTTCAAGGATAAATTGGTAATGGAAATTACAGGGTAGAAACCTTGTATCCCTACTATAAAAAAAGGTCCTAGAAAAACAACTAGGATCACAGCAAGAGATAGATGAGTGAAGCCAGACTATCTGACAAACTTTTCCGGCCCATTCTCCTCACTGTCCCGTTAAAAAGCATTTAAACATGAACCTTTACTGCCTTTGCTAAGAATTTAAAAAATGCATTAAGTTTCTGCAGTAGAACTCAATGCAACCTGGTAAGTGCTAATATTATCTAAAAGCCCAGCAATATAGAGGAAGAAGTTCCCAGGCTGGATGTAACAAGTAAAAAGGGCAAAGCTGTTTCTTGTAGGTTGGAGAAACTTTGCCTGCAGTAAACCTTGCCTAAGTACTTGCTGGGTTGTGAAAACTGGGGAAAGGCTATAAACAGAGTTAGAAACCACCCTCAGGCACGCAGAACGGACCCAATCCCCACCATGGACAAGTGTGAGGTTGTGTTAGCACACTCAAAGCTGACTTTGGGTTAGGACCTTGGAATTAACACTTCTTGTTTATTTTCTACCACCCATTTTAGAGTTGTTTATCACCTCATTTTCTATCACTTTTTTTAAGATGTTTAGTCCCTTGTATATGCTTGGAACATCTGGTAGTATAACTATGTGTCCTTATTTACCACCAACAAGAATACTGTAACTTTGCTAAAAGTTTAAATGAAACTCTTGGCAAGAAAAGGGACAGCCTACAGCCTGTGGAAAAAACAAAGAGCCATAGCTAGGTTAAACAGCTCAGCAAATAACTGCTTTGGGGAAAACCTAGTGTACATCTTCTAGAAGGATATTCAAAGTTCATTCACGGACCCTCCCCCTCGTGTGCTTCCTTTACCACGGATTACAGACAGTGAAGTAGGGTGGGGAGAAGGGAACAATCTGGTCGCTCTGGGCAGGAGAAAGAGCTCTAAGAAAGGTGACCAGAAAAGGGAGTTTCTGGAAAATAAGGTGAGAGAGGTGACTGGCACAGAGGTGAAAAGGAAACACGGTGAGTGGACCAAAGTAAGTGAGGGCAAGTGAGCGACTGCAGGGACGGACAGGGCTGGGGGGAGGAGAGTGCGCCAGAGACAGAAAGGGAGAGCCTCCAGAGTAAAAGGGCAGAGAGCCAGGGGTGACAGTCCAGGATCCAACGAGGGGGGATGAGAAGTGAAGACTGGGACAAGGCCTCACGCGCCGGGTGGGAACTGGAAGGTCGGCTAAGAAGGGGTTGGCTCAGAGAGTGGACGGAAAGGACCCAATTCCTAGCTTCGCCGTCCCTCGGTAGCACCCTCACTCGCCTGCAGGATCCGGGTCCGCACTGCTGCCGCCGCCGCCACCGCCGCCGCCATGGTCCTCAGCTGCCTGCAGTCGGCCTCCACGAGCCCCTACTGCGGGTGACTCCCTAGAAGCGCCACGGCTGCCAGGCCCAGCCCTTCCAGCCTGCCGCACTTCCTCATTGGTGGAGAAGACTATTTCCTCTAGCCAATCACGCACCCTAACACCTTACTGCACTCCTCTCAGTCCCGGGCTTGGGGATACGCGATTGGTCCGAAGTGGAAGAGCCCTAGCCCCCTCCCAGCTCATAAAATTCCGTTGGCCGAGGTAGGAAAGTCGCCACTGACTTGAGTACTCTGTATTGAGCACACGGAGAAGACGCCCCCTAAACGGGAACCCCGATTGGCCACAGGTACGACGGCGGTCCCACCCCCTCACCGAAGAAAGTAAATAAGACCCTTGAAGAACTTTGCAGTCGCCGCACCTCATCCACTGTGCGAGGGGGTGTGGCCAGCACTGGAGGCGGGGCTAGGCAAAGCTTGCCCTATGGGGCGGGGAAATGAGACGGGGCTGCAAGTTGGGGATAGGGGTTTCTCTCTGGGGGCGTGGCTTATGGAGCCTAGCTTTCCCGCCGACGGTTGGCCACGTCACGTGACATGGGTTGGAAGATGGCGTCTCCCACAGACGGTAAGAACCGGCATAGAGACCTTTCGGCTGCAACCTCCTTTGCTCTGCTGGTGACTTCCATTCTCTGCCTGCCCTTCGAACTTACACTTTTGTTCTTGAGCTCCAACCCTTTCCTTTAGGCTTCTTTTTCTTCGGATGCGGGTGCGTCTTCAAGCTCGCCTGTTCTTCACAGTAGCTCCGGAGGTGCCCCGTTTCCCCTCTGCGTACCAAGCGGGTGGAGGAGGGCACCCTCGTGGGGCCCATTCCAGGCGGAAGGTCGGGGTCGCTCTAGCCCTCCCTTCGCCCCATTTGGGTGAGGCAGGGCCGAGGAGGATATACTGCTGGGGGGAAATGTGATGCTTTAGTGTAGTTTTCTTCTCAGGGCACCCCATGGAAGGGTCGATTCTCTTCATTTTGAGCATCTGGGAAGATTCGTTCAAACCCTAGCTGGGGTTGGTGGCTGACCTCATTCCCGGAATTAAGCCACAAGCAAAACCTGATATTCTCCTGTCTCGGTAGATTGGGACCGTTGCCCTGTTTTGGTCCCTTCCGTCTTGGTCCCTTCCCAGAGAAAGATGAGAATTGAGCTTTTCGTAGTCATGCACTTATCTCATACTCTCTTGCTTCTTCTGTATGTATTTCCTCAGGCCCAGTGAGTGAACGATTTCTGTCTATATGTTGTCTAAGATACAAGTCACTTCAGATAGCAATTAAGTGGTTTTGGTATATCCGCATTCTTCTGCACTCCATTCTGCCTTATTTATGATTTTGCAGTCATTTCTGAACTCACTTAATTTTTGCTTCTACCGCCCCCATCCTCACGTCCGTTTCATTGATATGTAGTTTTCTCTTCTCAAACACATTTTGTGTTTGGAAGAAATCTTGAAAGTTTATTTCAGGAATGAGGAAATTGAGGCCAGGAGAGCTATTACTGAGTTTCCACTGTATGAAAGGCAAAATGTTAGGTGCTTTGGGGGAGGAAGAGATTCATCAATCATGTAAATGCTTTTGTACTTTAAGGTCTCATTTTAATCACTTCCCAGAGAAGGTTTCCCAGAACACAGTATCTGAAGTTGCCTCTCTTCACTGTTACTCACTACCTCACTACCTTCACTGTCAGATAATTAGTCTGTTAATTTTGCCCCTTTCATGCTAGATTATAAATTCCAAGTCTGTCTGTTCATGGTTGGATCCCAGAGTTTAGCACAGTGTCTGGCAAGCAGTAGACCTTCAATTAACATTTTATTTTTAATCAATAATTTACTAGTCTTGGGTTTCAAGTTTAACTTAGTCTTAAGTTTTTTGAGCACAGGTGCATTACTGTATAAAAAATGATGGGTGTTCAGCGTCAAAAAATATTCCTTCTGCCTGGATGCTCTCTTAAAATGTCTTTCTTGCCAGAAAAAACAAAAAAGGACATTTATAAAGTCAACTAAGGGAATGGGTAGTTATTGTTTAATAGGGTACAGAGTTTCAGTTTAGAATGGTGAGAATATTCTGGAGATGGATGGTAATCATGGTTACACAACAGTGTGAATGTTTTTAATGCCACTGAACTGTACCCTTAAAAATGGTTAAAGTGGTACATTTTGTTATGTGTATCTTACCAGAATTTTTAAAAAATCAGGCAAGTGATAGAAGTAGAAGTAATTGCTATTAAAATTTTTAGTTTATGGGGCGACTGGGTGGCTCAGTAGGTTAAGTGTCCGACTTTGCCTCAGGTCATGATCTCGTGGTTCACGAGTTTGAGCCCTGCATCAGGCTCTTAACTGACAGCTCAGCACCTGGAACCTGCCTCAAATTCTGTGTCTCCCTCTTTCTCTGCCTCTCTCCCACTCACACTCTGTCTCTCCCCCGCTCATGCTCTGTCTCTCTCAAAAATAAATAAAAATCATTAAAAAAAAATTTTTTTTTTAGTTTATTACTAAGTTGTTTTTATATTTATAAATTTGGAGATTTTAGAATTGTGTTGCTTGTATTTTGTTTTTTTCTTGTGTTCTCTATTTTTTTTTTTCCTTTTTTTGGCTAGGAAGAATATTGGAAACATTGTTTTCCCTTGATCTTCTAGCCATCTCCATAGTCACTCTATTTGCACACTTGATTTTTCAGTTTTCATGCTTATCTTTTACAGAATTGCATTCTTCACCTAATCTTTTCCTTTTAATCTGACAAAATCAAGTTGAGCACTTTGAACTTAAATACAGCTTCTAAATAAGTATCTCATCCTAAAATATTCCACTGCCTAGCTTTCTCACTATTTTAAAAGTTTATTTATTTTGAGAGAGAGAGTGCATGTGTGAGAGAGTGGGGGAGGGGCAGAGAGGTTGAGAGAGAATCCCAAGCAGGCTCCACCCTGTCAGTGCAGAGCCCAATGTGGGGCTCGAACTCATAAACTGAGAACTCATGACCTGTGCCAGAGTTGGATGCTTAACCGACTGAGTCACCCAGGTGCCCCTAGCTTGTATCTTTAGTGTTTTACCTGTCTCTTTCTGTAAGATTTAATTCAAATCTAGGTCATCTACTCATTTGTCTTTTTAATGTTAAATTTGCTTAGCACTTCTTTAAAAAGGAGAACATTGGAATTAATGAATGAGAGTAGCACTCACAGCAAATTCTCAGTTATGCCCCAGACCGTGGGATCATAAGACCACCCTTGTTTCTTACTGGATCCTATTCTCAGTAAGTTCACTTTTGTTGTGATTGAGCTTCCCATCAGTAACATTCCTTGGGAATTTGAAAATTGGCATTTTGTGTGTTACACACAGCTTTTCTTTGTTACCATTTTTGGATGCTTAGTTAAGACAATTTATTAGGGTTGAGTTCTTTACCAATTAGAATGCTGCTGGAAATTCCCGTAGAATATTTGGGGTGGGGGGGAATCCAGTTTAGAGAAAAGCACATGTTTGTTGTTTTTTTAATTGGGCTTCATGCCCAGCAT